TTTCACATTGCTCCGGCTGAAGCTAGGGGAGTTAAGTCAGAGATAGTTTAGACTCAAGAACAGGCACCAAAATACAAAAATGCTGATAAATCCCAGAGGCCTTGCAAAGTTTGTCAGGAACAAAATGACTCCATTGACATTTCAGATGGAAAAGGGTATCCTTTATTTGTCACTTCAGAGATTTATGACTCGAAAAAAATGCTGAATCCATCAAGAAGCAGGAACTATCCTGGCAACTGAGCTCCTCAGGCTTGCACTATAAATAACACGTATGTGGAACACAGCTTACAAAGAGACAATAACCACCGGCACCCAGCTGAGGCCGAGTCTTTGGAGGCAACCCAGCAAGCTGAAGCTCTTTGGCCCGAGCCCATAGCAAACAGTGCTTCAGGCGATGATGCATCACAGTTTCATCTTGCAGAGTCCCACCAAACTGCCTGCAAGACATCACTCCAGACTTAACCCATGAAGTCCCACCAAGCTACATTAAATTTTTTTGCCCATTTTACAGTTCCCATCAAGCCATGGTGTCCAGAGAGTCTTCAGCCTCATAACCTTTCATATCTCTTTCTCTGGTGGGAGGTGAGGCAATGCCGTGAGCTATGGATCTCCAAGGATCTGCAAGGATTTGGCCATCTGATCTAGTAGTGCTGTATGGATCAGTTTTCCCATCTGTCAGATGGGTCTGGCACACCTTGGTCAGCAAGAAGAGCTCAACAACACCTCCTCAGTTGTGTTGTACCATATGGGGTAGATAAATATTGCGTAAATAACCCTTGTGCAGATAGACACACAGACATTTCATCTCATGAACTCTCACATGCACTGAGGTGAATAAGGGCATCAATATCTCGAGAAACAGAGGAAGGACAAGGCAACAGATCATTTGCCAGAAAGAAGAAGAACTGGAGGGAGAAGAAGGGGCTCTGGAGGGTAAGCTCCATAGCCAACATCGCCAACACCCCGCTGTTACCTGGCAGAGATGGAAAATATCAGGATGAAATACTGTGGTGTGGGCTACGGCTGAAGAGGGTCAGGTAAAATTTCTAAAACTGAAGTGCTTCAGCTCCTCCGGTCCCAGGAACTATCCATTACAGGTCCAACATGGATCAAGCTTGTTCCAAGTCAAGGCTTTGGTGCACAGAGCAGAACATGTTCCTGCTGGTGCCTCTCTGCTCTCATGCCTTATCATAAAACATATGTCATATGATACATGACTTGGATTTGCACTAAGATCCCTCATCCTGCACCAGATGGTAAGGCACAGGCAGAGGCTGACGTTGCAAAAAGTGCCTCCTGGGCTGATCAAGCTTGCCCTCAGCCTCTGGACTCCGATTTCTGCTATGCAAACGGGGCGGGTGAGCAGATACTAATGACCATGTGTTTCCTTTCAGTACGACCATCTGGACGCAGACTGGCTGGGGATGCCCCCCCTGCCCTCCCCTCGCTGCCTCTTTGGCCTAGGAGAGGCAGAAAACTCCATTTTTGTGGTCGGAGGGAAAGAACTGAAAGAGGGAGAAAAGACCTTGGACTCGGTCCTGTGCTATGACCGGCTGTAAGTGTCCACACGAGCGCGGGGCGGGAGGTGGGTGACAGGAGAAGGTGAAGCAGCTGGGGTGCAAAGTGACTCCAGCTCTCCAGGGATTGAAAGGTTTTGGAGACAGGGCTTGAACTCTACATCTCAGTGCTGGGACCACTGGGACAGTCTCAAGCTGTACCCTGGGGCTCTGAGCTGTCTCTCTCCAGCTGCTTCGTTTATTGTAATTGAACCTCCAGGAGATGGAAGCCGTAACGGGGATATTATGTTATCAGAGACCAAACTTAGCAGATGCTCACATGGGGCCAGTACAGAAAAGGAAGGGGAGTTTTTCCTTCTGCTCTCACCCATCGGTTTGGAGGTTTGATGACCTTCACCGTGGTCTCACCAGGAGTGGCTTTGGACAGGAAAGTTTCTTTTGAAAGTATTCAGATGTGGCACTGAATGGTCCACTCTGAAACAAATCAGGCTTAATATGCAATTATTTTTGCACGATGGGCTCTGACCCGTGTTGTGTCATGACCTTTATAAAAAGCCACCATCCTGTTCTGCTCACAGGAGGTAGAAACATCCAGAGACTGCTCCTCTCCGTCTCAAAGAGGTGGAACAGGAGGTGTTAAACAAGTCCTTGCTGTCTATATTTAGATGTGTGTGCGTCGAGGTCTGTTTCGTAGGCAGAGATTTGAAACCAGTGCCGTTCCCACAGAACTGGCCATTCACTGCCCCTGCAGACTCTGGGAAAGGACGTGCCTGTCCCTGCTAAGTGCTTAGGGGTTGCTTTGAATATTGATTTGAAGCTGGTAGAGATGTGATCAGCATGCCTTGTATTTCCATTACTATTTAGGTCAAAACTTCAATGGTAACAACCTGGAGAAGGTAAACTGCTGGTCCATGGGATCAAATATTTGCCCAGAGTAGTTGGCCAACTAGAAAGCACTCAGAGCCCAGGCACCTCAGTTCTTAGGTAAAATAAAGTGCAGGTCTTGGGGGCTACAGCCTACATGTGTGAAAACTGGGGACGAGTCTAATCTACATGGACACGAACAGACATCTCTTGAGAAACTGGTCAGCCCTATTTGGGTACCAGTTAGGGGTTTCCAAAGCCTTATAGCTACGTACATCCTCTGCTCAGTTGTCCTGGAGCTAACTCAGAGTCTTCAACAAGCCCTGCACTGCAAAATGTGGACATGCCCACTGCGTGTCCTTTCTGAGTGTTGGCCAACCATTGCACCTCGAAGTGGAAGGTGATGGCCAAACCCAAAACTCATCCTCATGACCTTGCACGCCTACGTCACATCAGTTTCAATTTTTTACATAATGCAGAAATCTCTGTCTCGTCTGTGTCTAGCTTGTAACGCTTGTAAATGAGGTGAGGTCCTGGGAGAAGAGAGCCTGCATATGCGCAAAGCCCAGAAGTAGAGGATGCTGCAGATAAGGATGAGCATTAGCATAAACATCCTGTGTGTTTTGTTATCCTTTTTTTTTTTTTAGGATCACAAAATTTACTGGTTGAGCACTATCTCATTGGAAACCGTATATTTTTGAGATTGAGTTTTGTTTGTCAGGGTCTGGCTCACCTCTAGGTCTGCAAAGTGCCATGTACTCTGGGCCTCACCTAGCAACCTACAAATCCTTTCATTTCCCATCTTTCCCTGATCCAGGTCCTTCAAGTGGGGTGAAGCCGATTCCCTTCCCTATGCAGTCTACGGCCACGCGGTGGTATCACACAAGGACCTCGTCTATGTCATTGGGGGCAAAGGAAGTGACAAGTAAGTCAAAAAGCAAGAGAAACTGAGTCATCCCCCAAACTAGTGGGAGTGCAGAGCATGAGTTGGTACCTCCCCAACCTGGATGCTATGGGTTAAGGAGGGTTGGATGGGGTGTGAGATGTGGATCGTTCCCTCTCAGCTCACCTCTGTGACTGCAGCCCTTCCCAATCGGTTAGATGTCTTGCAGGGACATGAGGGTGATGGCACTGTTCTTGCAGGAGAGGGAATGTATCACCCTAGTGATAGGACAAGGGGCAATGGCTTTAAACTGAAAGAGGGGAGATTTAGATTGGATATAAGGAAACAATTCTTCCCTCTGAGGGTGGTGAGGCACTGGAACAGGTTGCCCAGAGAAGCTGTGGGTGCCCCATCCCTGGAAGTGTTCAAGGCCAGGTTGGATGAGGCTTTGACCAAGCTGGTATAGTGGAAGGTGTCCCTGCCCATGGCAGGGGGGTTGGAACTAGATGATCTTTGAGGTCCCTTCCAACCCAAACCATTCCATGATTCTATCCCCTTTACTTACAATAAATATCACACAGAATGGGAGAGGCACTGAAGAGCAAGAAGCCCATTCACATTGAGGGTCTCCTGTCTTGGACTTGTGGAGCAGAGTGGTCCTAGTAGTCAAATCCAGATGGGTATTGGTAATAGAGGTGACAAACTTCATCAAAACTGACCATCGTCCTGCCCTCCTGCAGGAGATGAGCTCAGTAGAAAAAGCCTCTCTCGGGGAGCATTGCGGCGAATTCTTTGCGAGCCCGAAGCATGACAGTTTGCAGAGAAAACCTTCCATAATCCAGCAAAGACAGGTCCTTCTCTGAAAGGATAATGGTCTGAAAAGTGTGAGCGTGCATACGTTCACGCACCTTACCCTGCCGTCCCGGGGAACAAGGGTGTTACTGATGACATTTCACAGCGTCAAGTTGGACCAGCAGCACCGAAACACTGTCTGATGGCCATGTGCGAGGTCCTGAGAGGCAGGTACCTACATGGACCTGTTATCCAGCTGTGTCAGAACAATTTTGAGTTTTTAGGACTCCTATCCAAAGCGAGCACAGCAGGAGGGAATACGTTATACACTCAAATGATGTCTCGAGGCATGGGCATCCTTGGGTGCACACCCAAGCAAAGGCACTCATGCCAATGTGGAGGAGCAACATCCTTTCTAGAGCCTCCCATGTTCTTCCCAGCAGGCATCTCCCAACTCCTGCAGTGCCGAGCTGCTCCTCGGCAGGCAATCCAGGCTCTTTCTCTCTCTCATCTTTCTCTAGGAAGTGCCTGAAGAAGATGTGTGTCTACAACCCAGCCAAGTTTGAGTGGAAGGAGCTGGCTCCCATGAAAACTGCCCGGTCCCTGTTCGGAGCCACTGTGCACAAGGACAAAATCTATGTGGCTGCTGGTGTGACCGACTCCGGCTTGACCAACTCGGTGGAAGTGTATGACATTGCCACCAACAAGTAGGTACCTGAGCACAGCTTCGTGGCGTAGTTACACAAGGAGCAGCTGTAGGTGTACATTAAGCAACTTCCAACCATTCTGGAGTTTCCTTGCAACTCCCGATACCAGTTCCTCCCAGGCTGTATTCCTCAGACAGCTGGGCATCACCGAGGCCACTGCAGTTGGGCTGTGGATCATCTCAGGCTCACCTTCACAGAAGTTTCACCAACTGGTGCAGCCCTTCGGTTCCCTGCAGGGCTGTAGCCTTCATCTTGGCAGCTTCACCCAACACAACAGACTCTCTGACTGGTCCTTGCAGCCGCAGTCCCACCACTGGGACCTGCTGGTCCATGCTAGGTGTGCTTCACAGCTCATCTACTCAATGCAAAATGAAGTTTAACTATGATGATGGAGACAGATATCTTTAACAGCCAATGTATGTCCCCATCCCATATAGACCTAGACAAGTTAAACTGTCACTAGTTAATAATTCCGTTGTTGGCTCCTGATTCGAGGCCAGCCTCAGCGTGGGGTTAAGGCAGGGTGCCCTAATGTGTCCCCTCTCTCAACATGGCAGGTGGGACACCTTCACTGAGTTCCCACAGGAGCGCAGCTCGGTCAGCCTGGTGAGCTTGGCTGGAGTGCTCTACCTGCTCGGAGGGTTCGCCACGGTGGAGACGGAGTCGGGAGAGCTGGTGCCAACGGAGCTGAACGATGTTTGGAGGTGACGATCTTCCCCAGGGCTGTCCAAGGGAGCATGGGAGAGATGTTAGTGAGATCCACTGAGGGAACAGATAGTTTCTGTCTTTCTTGATGCCTTCAATGTGGGATGGATGCTGTTACCCCAGCACAAGGCTGCAGGCTCGGTGTAGGGTCTCTGGGTGAGAAGTTTGCCCTGTGTTGTGCTGGAGGCCACATTAGGAGATTCAGTGACCTCTCCTAGCCTCATATAGCAACGTACCAGGGAAAATCTGCTCCTTCAGCTTTGTTGCTGCATTGACATTTTGCCTGGAGCTGGTTCCAGACCTCCCCTTTGGTGGGAAGCAGCACGTGTGCAGTGCAGCCGCTTCCTGGGAAACGCCAGTGCTTGGACTGGAAATCAGATAGTCTTATGTGCCAGCAGAGAAGAGGGCAGAAAGCACTTTCTGATGGCTTCTAACAGCATTAACTGCTCCTGGCCTTCATATCTGTGGCTCTAGAGCACCCTCAACAGGCACCTGCTGGCCTTCACCATGGATGTTCAGTCTTGGTGCCATCAACCCATTTCCTCATGGAAAAATACACCCTCCCCTGCAAGACCACTGCTGGTATCCATGCCCCCTACCCTGGTGCTGCAAACCAGAGCACGCCAGGACTGAAAGTCCCCATGCGGCTCCCACAGATCCCTTGTGGCCAAATAACATCTGTGGGACATCACGCCATGCACCAGGGCTCCCACCACTACAAAGAGCAGCGGAAGCGAGGGAGAGGAGACGCTTTCCTCACCGTAACTGTCTGTCTGTCTGTCTCTCCCCAGATATGACGAAGAGCAGAAGAAGTGGGAAGGGGTTCTCCGGGAGATCCAGTACGCCTCCGGTGCCACTTTCCTACCTGTGCGCCTCAATGTTTTGCGCCTAACGAAGATGTAGTGGGGAGCAATTTGGTTTTTTTCCATGGGGGTCCGGGGCAAGGAGGGATGGGAGGGAAGGTGAGGCCACGGTTATCGGAGCAGAGATGTGGCATCTGGATACTGTGTAGGACATTGCATCTGTGATTGGGATCGTTTTACTTAGTCAAATGGGAAAGGGAGGAAATCATCTTGAAGCCCTATGGAAACTGGAAGGTGCTCACAAGATAACTAGAGAGGGATCTGGAGCCCGCGAGGAGCTGGGGTAGACTGAGAAGCATGGGGCAATGAGCTATTGCTGTCTCAGTAGACAGGACAAGAAGATCATGCTCTAGTTACGCTGCTTTCTCCGTGTTTTTCCCCATCTTCTCAACTGCTGTTGAGCCTCTCAAACAAACAATGGAGGCAGAAAGTGGGAACCAAGGGACTAAGCTGACATTTCCCAGGGAAGGGGGTCTATAAAGTAGTTCCCCACCTAAGATAGCTGTGAGCATGGTGCTAGAGCCCACCTTGGTGAGAAGAAGGAAGGGTCAAAGTCAACTGGTACAGGAGAGATCTGGGGGGACTTTTATGAGTTCCTGGTTGATGAGGGTTGTTGGGATGTGACAGCTAAAAGAAAAGAGCATGTGAGTGTGGACAGCAGAAACACTTTGGAAGCTGCAATGAAAAGAAATATTCTTAGTTCTTTGCCTCCACCTTGACTTTGGACTGAAGAGACGCCAGGAGCTAAGGTCTGCGGGAGGGGAAGAGTCATGTGAGTAGTAGGGTGGGAAAGTGGGGGAGAGACAGGCAGGGGGGCCATGTGCATTCATCTCCAGTCTTGATTTCCTCATCTTCAATCACAGATCACAATGTCCTCACCTATGGTTGGACAAGTGCTGTTTTTCAGGGAAAGGTTTTATATTTATGCTGTTTCTTTTATTTTTAATGTTCTGACCTTGTTTTTTTTTTTTAAAGAGTATTCTAGTTTGCTAAGTACATGGAGATCTCAGATGTGTTTGGCTCAAAGAGAGCTTCCTACTGAGGGAAAAATGCGTATTTTTTTTTAAGTTATCCATAATGATGTTTTGATAGAAACACAACTGTACTGGCAGCGGGACAAAGATCTGCTAGAGCAAAAATCTCCTGATGGCCACACCATCTGAGCAGTGGTTTGTTTAAAAATAAATTATCAGGCTATTTCAAAAGAAACCCCCTGTGCTTGCATGTTGATAGAGCTGCAACTGAACGGCCACAGCAACCACACACAAGGACCAAGCAAAAGCTGCAGTGAACGTACGCAGCAAACCAGCCCCATGGAGAGCCTGAGCTCAGCACCTTTTATCCTTATTTTCCCCCATTTGGGAGACGAAACTTTAGCTTCCCTACCCTTACAGCTATTCTCCATAGATATGAGGACTAGAAGCTCACCTAATACTAGAAGGAAGCTGGATGCCTACATGGTCTCATGATACCATGAACAGGGGGGATCATGAATAACAAAAAAGAACAAATGCAAATCTTGTAAAATAATATCCTCAAAGTGGCATGAAAATTACAGTATTATAAATCATATCGTGCTGATTCCTCCAGCTCAAAATGCAGTCGTGGAGAAACTAGAACATATTTTGAAGGAAAGACAATTTGGCATGGGTAAAGGAACCAGAGTCTTGTCCCAGTTTCATTTTAAGGATTTAAAAAGTTACAGGATAATCTCCTTAGAGGACAATCACATCAGAACAGTAATGAAAACATTTTTCACAAGGAAAATAAATCCGAGGTGACTGGCTGGCACAAAATAGCTGAAAAAAAAAAAAGGCAACAAAACCTTCTGAAACAATTTAATGTGAAAAATGCACTGCAAAAAAAAAAAAATCACCTTCCTTCTACCTAGTTCTGCAGAAATTCTCATGGATGAATCCCAAGGTAATTGAAGATGAACCTACCAAATGCAGAATAGCTTGTGGTAGGAAAGAAAAATGAAGAAGAACAAAAATGACCCATGCATAGAAAAGTAAATTGAAATTTTTGAAGTCATTTATTGCGTTGGCAGGATACCACCTCCTGCCTGGGATTGCACACTGACATCTTTGCTTCAGCTTTTCCTGCTGGACGCAGAATGGAAAGCTGTTGACACTCGGTCCTAAGAGAGAGTTAATCCCCATCCACCCCCTGCCATGGTGCCTGGCTCTTCTCAGGGAAATTTGGGCCCTTTGAAGTCAACAGGAATGCTGCTGAGGCTCAATGAGTTGTTATGGTGTGGTCCCTTGGTGAGGGCTTGAGAAGCAGCAATCAAGACTGATGCCCATCCTTGCTCACTCACCTCACAACTGTCCATCAGGAATACAGTTATTAGGAGCTTCCTGATCCCACGTGGCTCGCATCCGTCATAAAGCTGTGGGAGATGCCACCTCTGGCACAGGGCAAGAAACCATAAAAGGAAAAATAGCTGCTGTATAAAAGGACCCAGAAGAGCTTGAAATATCTCACCGCTTGAGCAACAAGGGCCAAATCTCAGCGCACACAAGCCAGCCTTGGCCCAAGAAACGCGGCGAAGTTGCACATCGCCAAGCGAATGTCTGGCCCAGAGATGTTCACCACCTTCTCGCCAAGAGGCTGCTTCAGTCCTAAGGCAATCACAGATAAGAACCAGAACATGAGCAGGAATACTCAGGGAGACATCACTCCTGGCTGCTGCCGATGTTTTCCCAGCTCAGATGCACAGGGCTCCACCAGCACAGGTCTCCCTGCAGGTATCTTCTCCAGGCAATGCCAGCAGCAAAGGAGCAGGTATATCCCAAGGGTGGGGAAAACCATCTCTTCTTCCATTTGCTTCCCAATATCAGCACTGACATCAGCTGGCAAGGTTCCCACCACTCCATCTTACATCAGGGAGCCCCAGCTTACACAAATCTCATGGAGCCAGTAGGACCCAGCAGCTCAGCCCTCACCAAGCCCCTTCTTCCACCCACTCATCACCCTTCCCTGAAAAGCTGGTTTTGGTTGCCCCACAGCAGTCCAGTTGTCTCACACACCTCCTACCAAACCCAACGCAAAGGCTACACGTGAAGCAACAGCAGCAGTGAACATGCCACGAGAAGCCCATCCTGCCAGGTTCCGACTCCTCAAGCAAGCTCCTGAAAAGAGACTTTAAAATAAAACAAACAAAAAAACAAACAAACAAACAAAAAATCTAAGGTAACAAAGAAAGTGGTGGAGCTTTAGGTTTTCTTTTATAAAAGACAAATCGTTTATTGATTCAGTCCTTCCACTTGCAACCTCTTTGGTAACAGTCATAACACTTCCAGACTGGGAGAACGCAGTGGAAAAGCCCAATTCTGACCTCTCACCACTTTCAGAGCTCAGCGACCCCTGATGTGCCTTGGTGAGAAGCCAAGAGCAGGTTTCAAAGCATGGCCAAGGACAACCCAGAACAGCCTACCGTGACTCGTCTTGCTCGTGGGTGGCCCAGAGAGCAGCCCCACCACCCGCAGGCAAAAGATGGCTCGGGATGGGGATACACGTTGGGCCCTTGGTGCCAAGGCTGACGGTGAGCTGTGCCCTGGAAGGCAGCTTTGATGCATCTCTTGGGACCTCCAGGACATGACCAACGGGGCTGTCAATAAAGCACGACCCATCCCTTCCTGCAGTAGGCAATGACCTGCCCCAGCTGGCCCCATGCAGATGCACTAACCCAACCACTTCAACCTCCCCCTCATCCCACCATCCCAAAGAGAGTAACTGCTGTACTTGGAGTTAAAGATAAACATATATTGATTACACATGGTCATAAAAAAAAAAAAGTAATAATAATAATAATAATACATTTCCTAGAACATTACTTAAGACGCTTCCGAAAAGCATCCAAGCTTCCCCACCCCTCCCCTCCCCGCCTTCCCTTATCTATACAGAATAAAGTGCTTCGTTTAGTTTGTTCACACTCGTAGAGCCACCGATACTCCTCACTTGGCATGTTTGGGCAACCGATACTGAACGCCAGAAAATAATACAGAGCCCAACACCAGGCTTGAGAAACTAGTTTTGAGGCAAGTGCTTGGGGTTTCATTCGTTTCCTTCAAGTTCCATGCTACTGAGGTTGTTCTTATTCCTATTTTTTTTTTTTTTCCTTTCTTTATTATTATTATTTTCTTCCTTCGCAAGTTCGACCCAACTGCCGTCGTGGTTACGTGCCACTCGGCAGGGCTGCGTGCGGGGAAGCTCTCCCGGTCCATGTGAACAAAGGGCGTCCGTCCGTCCGTCCTTCCCTTTCAACTTCGGGCAAACCAAGAGTTTAATCAACGGAGTTGTCTAGCAGCAGATGCTCATCTCTATTGCACTGTCACAGCCGTT